GTTATGTTTTCTTTTATATAAAACTACCGGTAGAATATGCAATACTTGGGAAAATGTGTGAAATCTAACATGAATTCGGATTAATTTCTTATTAGGCTTCTCACCTTCACCTTTTTTTTTTTATCTTTCATTGGATTTTATTTATTTGATTACATCCACTGCACACACATGCACATAATTTAACAATACGTTTATTTTGTATGACAAGTTCATTGCTTTTCGCAGTATAATTTGATTCAGCCGGAAAATTGATTGTATTTTAAATTGTATAAAACATTAGCCAAATACTTTAATTTTTCTGAGAAAATAATATGTCATTGCTTTTTCACCGATACATGTTCTTTTTGTTAAGTACATTGTCTTATTAAATAACTGCCTTAACAACATAATTCACCATTTATATATGTACAACGATCGATAAAATGTAATTGTGAAATGCTACAGCAAGGTTATGTATCGTTGTGTTTTCCTTTAAAAAATTCAGATTAAGAGTTTGTCGGCAAGAATGGGCCTTGCTGAATTGTTATTTAAGAGTAGATCAAGAAGGACACGTGTAAGAGAGAAAAGATCGTTCGCATCTAACATTGCAAGATCCTTCCTAGAGGCCTCGGTAGATCCGCGATTATAAATGTTCGCGTCCTGGTTTCATTTTGAACCAACTGAGTAACTGCAGATAATTAATCTACAATACTATATTTGTCGACAATTGTAAAAAAAAGAATTAGAAGATACCAAAAAAAGTTACTTTATAAATTCTACTTAAAATTTTGTTTCTTAGTGTCATAAGTTAATTATAATTTATTTCGATAGGTGGCATTGCAATTTTATAAATTACATATAGGACAAGCGGTGTGAAATTTTAACAATTTTATTTCTAGATTTATTGAATTTACCTATGCTTTATCTATAAATATTATTACCATTCTGGGCAACGACGATGTCTTTTTAATAGTGATAATTTATTTTTACATTAACGAGTAACAATATTGTTACGTTAAGTTGCGTCATTTAGCAATAAATGTCGCAACAATTTATGGCTGTTTCTATGCATACCATTCATTGTCGATGTTTTCGCTTCAGGCGATAGAACGTTTGGCGAATGGTGCCTTTAGGCTAATTTCCACTTACGATTGATCGAAATAGATGAGAAACATTGCTTTACTTTCATCCATCATTCTGCAGTATGCGTTGTAATTATGTCACGAGAATTAATTAGTTAACATATTTCAACATTTGTTGAAATTACATCCCCGTTCATTTGATAATTATTAAATATATCTATTGCATATTTATTTTAGTACTGTATGTTAATAATGTTACGAGGCGTATACGTACGATTAAAGAAGATTGCAATTGGAATATATGAATGTACAGAATAGGAAAAAATCAATCTGAAACTTACAATAAATACATTGTACTATTTTCATTGCAGTATGCATGTATACTTTGTCGTTAAAAGCATTATTCCCGGAGGGTTTTCGCATTCTACTTATATTACTCGCCTTCCTTTTAAATGTTGCGCCTTTTGAAATATCGCCTCAGGGTTGTAGAATACATGACGCGCGGATGGGATACTAAACAGCCGTTCACACGGTGAATTTGAATGAGTTTCATTGTAGAATTCTTGTTTTCCAAACGCATATACAGAAATACTTATACAATCAATTAAGTTTGAGAGGATCACCTGTGTCAGAGTTTTATAATAGAAGGAAACAGTTACGTTTAATCTAGAAGGAAACAATACGATGACTTATGGAAACCATATTTAAGAAGTAAATCAACAAATGTTACACCATTAGTGGATTATCAGATGTTACACGATAGTCTAACAAACAAGGTGAACGTTACTTGAAAATTTAGTAGGAGATTTGAAAGATAATATTTTTATTTAATATTACGAAAAAATAAATTAATATTTATTTCATATAAAATAAGTAAAAATTTATTTAATTTATCTTTACGAAAAATAATGTTTTTTAGTTACTTAAAACGTATATATTTTTTTGTGTATCTGTTTCATAATTAATATGTAAGCTGTGAATCATTGTCATATGTGCAGACATATAAACTGGCGAGTAACGATCTGAAGGAAAGGGCATTGCTTGAACAATCTACACTCTGAAAGGTTCGGAACGAGAACTTACGCAATGTATGAAGCCATGCCTAAGAGGGTTATACACTGAAGCTCCAAATACTTTTACGTAAATCTTAATCTAATTTCTTCTCTTGCGATACTCTTCGACATCTTTACGTACACACATTTGTTAAAAAAAAAAAACAGTCTAGGAGCGAATAATAGAACAATTAAAACAAATATTTTATTACAATTACATCGTTAATTTATGACGATGGTGGGCGTAATTTTAAGGTACACGATTGAAATAAATAATGCAATTCTAAAGGACAGTGGGAGTAAAGAAAATATACAAGACTTTCACTTAATATTCATGATTCGTTCGAAGAATTTAGCTGGATTATTAGTTAGATCCTGATGATTCATCGATACCAATTTGGTTGTTATTGCTAACAATAATATGTGCAAATCGGTATCGATTGAAATTTCATCTCGAAGCAGAATCGTTCGATTAGTTATTTAATAATAAATTGCGAAATAATTTTGTGTAAGCAGCAATGAATTGATAATGTATAATAATATAGTAATACTAAGTTTATTTGTACTCTAGGCCCAAAGCCTATTACAAGGAGGTTGTTGGCTTCTTATATCTAATTCCTTTTAACATACTATCTTTTTAACTTGACGTATTGTACATTCTTCTTCCTTATTAACTATTTTACAATATGTTAACGTTTATATTCTCGTATGTAAACATTTCTTCTTTTCTTTTTCGTACATGCTAAATAATTGTTGCCTTAGTTTTGTTTTATCTTTAATCGCTTAGGCAGTCTTCCTGTCCTTATATGAATTAATAATATAGTAAAGTAAATGTGTATACAAAATTAAATACACTTCGATCTTCGAGCTTTGTATTATATATGTATATTATATTATTACACTCTTTAAAAAATCATCATATCTTTCGAGTAACAATTGTAAAACAGATAAGTAACGAAAGAACCATAAACAGATTCGTCGATTTATCAATACAAACATGATTACATTTCTTACCATAAACATTTGAAATATTAAGCAATTAATGTTCAATATGAAATGAAAAATTACGTTTATCTAATTGAAAATTGCTGTCACTTCTAAACAGCAATATCAGATTATTTCAAAAGTTTTTTACTCAGGGATACACATTCTAGACGTTTTTCTTTTCGTTTATGTCATTCCAACGTGCTTACACACATACATATATGTATTTTCTTTGTCTTGACGATGATAAGAAATTCTTGAAAAAGAGGAAAATTATATCGATGATTAAACTATTTTCTCTAGATACATTTTTCCTAATAACATTCATACAACAATATAGAAAGATATTTTTCAATGTTCCAATATGTCGTGTCGATCTTATCGACGGTAGGTACTATCGTAGATAAGAAACTAGAAAATTCTTCGAAACTGTTAATATTGGAAGAAATCGATCAAATTAATTCGTGTGTGTACAGTAATTAATCTTAGTCGGGGATTAGAGTTTTTTTTCGACAGGTGGTATACGAAATAGACGAAGACTGAACCCTTTCGATTCGACAACGATAACCTGCGTGTATATCTTCGTCCTTCTCCACTACAGGTATGGCCATACATGGTACCAGCCGCACTTGACCTATATCTTATTATGCTGGAAGCGTCCCGCCGGGTCTCTTCGAGGTTACCGAGGTTCACCACCACCATAAAGAAGTCCTTCCTTCCTGTAACAGTCGTCTCGACATCCCGGCTTCCGCGACAGACGCAGACAAGGTCCAAGTAGTCGAGGAGTTCACGTCGGTCCTTTAGTTTTACGTTTCTTTTTTTCTCTCTCTCTTTCGGAATCGATTTGACGTAATAACACCGTACGAAAATTATCGCTCTTCACTGCTACCGATGGTTATTACTTTGCGTTAAAGACTGGAGTACACTGTGTCTTCTATGGTGAGTAATTAACTAATCTATCAGGTCTATGCAAAAGTGACCATCTTTTATGAATCGATGGCATTAAAAGGCACTGTACCTTTCTTCTCTTATTTAAATTTTCACGTAGTGTTAATATTGTATTATTAATACTTTTAGGAAAATTAATTACAAATGTAATAAAAAATATATACACATTCTGGAAAAAAGTATGATGGGAACTTTTGTGTCGTGTATTCATTGTCACGAAAGTCTTCTGTTTCTACAGTAAAATCTGTTATTAATTGCATTTAGCTTCGTCATTTTAATTTAGTTTGAAGTTGGTCGTCACACGAAGTTCATTTTAAGTATCGTAACGGGAAAAAATACGCGAAAGAACACCGTGGACAATGTTAAATGTTGCATTATGTGTAAAACACTCTAGGCCTTGAATGAGAGACAATAATTTTTTTCATACGTTCACTGTCTCGCGTTTATGTGAACCATTACAACCTTGGATGGAAAACCATGCTTCACTTTTTCCCAAGTGTAATAACATCCCGTTTAGGTATAGAGTTATTCTTGCTCGCTCTATATAAGTTCAATTAAAACAACTATCTCTACAATCAACACGCTAAAAATTCATTTGATTATTTCTCAATGTCTATCAATTATTTCCAACATTTCTGAATACGAAAACGAAAAAAGTACGTAATTACACGCGATCGAGATGCATAAAAAAAAAAAGGAAGAAACGTTCGATCCAGAATATTAAATTTCTCTCCCGTCAACCCTTCATTCGTTTACACCTTTACTTTCTCAAGGTTCCGCACGAGTGCCCTCATGTGATTTCTATCTTCCCGGTGTTTCACTCTTGACCGGTATTTAGGAAGGTCACGACCTCAGGGTAGGTTTGTCACGAGAATCACGCATGCGCGACCCGCGGGCGAAAGTATTTAAAGAGGTGGACATGCCTTCGGGAAGGCCACTCTTCCCCGAACTGTCACGAATCGCGCAAGTCCCCCCACTTTCCTCCCTTTCCGAGTCGAATGAGCACGCGTTACCAACGAGAGTGAGAAAATCGGCTCTTTTAGTCTCCTCTTTATCCCTCCCCTGCGCGATCGCCCCTTTAACCCCCACGATAATCCCCTCCTTTAGGATCATTTGTCCTCCACATTTTCCCTCTCCAAGGATCGTCAGTGTGCCATTGGTTTGTCGTTTAATAGATCCGCTGGCCTGTCTCTGCAGATTCAATTTGGTGCCAGCAAACGTGACAGATCAGTGATAGGAAGGAAGAGATCAAACTACCATCGGACAGCCGATTTTTCTTTCGAAGGGAGGATAGACAAGCGTTTCCGTAAATGAAAGGATCTTCGACAACACTTTTCACCGAGAGCTTTCGATTTCACATGCAGAATGCCCGCGATATTCGTTTAACTAATCGAGATTCGTGAGAGATTTGGTCGATGAAAGAAGATATCGCGGGAATTTTTTCACGGAGGACGGATTCTGATTGAAGTTTCTCTGATGGATCGATCCAGGAGATACGCGTAGTAGAGGAAACGCCGATCTTTCGTGTTTTCGATCGACGATTAGAATCTTGGAGGTGGAATCGGAAACTGGAAAATCAGAAGGTGCAAACATGGAAGAGGTGGACGTTCAGCTTGAGTCGAGAGACCAAGTGGGCAAAATGCTCTTCTCTCCTCCACCGATGAAAAAGTCCGACACGAGAGACAGTATTTCCTCCGTGGACAGTGACGTGAGCCTTTCCTTCGATCGTAGAGGTTCCAAGGGAGAAGAGGCTGATTTGTCGGACAGTGGAAGTTCCGATAACGAGAGGAAGGAGAACGACGGGGTGGAGCAACAAAAGAATTCTGATCCAGATTCGGGTGCAGACTCGTTGGAGGAGAGCGTTGTTAAAGATTCGAAAACTCAGAATCAGGGAACGCTGACTGAAGTAAGTACGGCTAATCAAGGGGACGATTTTGTCCCGCCGAACGACGAATTGGCTGAGAAAATATGCGCCCAGGTGGAGTTCTACTTCTCCGACGAGAATATCGTGAAAGATGCATTCTTGTTGAAACACGTGAAGAGGAATAAAGAGGGATACGTGTCTCTGAAGCTAATCTCAAGTTTCAAACGAGTGAAACATTTGAGCAGAGATTGGAGAGTGGTCGGGTCTGCTTTGGCGAAATCGAAAAAGCTTCAAGTGAATCCGCTGGGTACCAAGTTACGCAGAGTCGATTCTTTACCGCCTTTCGATCAGACTACCCCTTCGAGAACGATTCTAGCCGCGAGACTTCCGGTAGAGAAGCTATCGGTCGAGTCTGTAGCTGAGATCTTCAGGCCGTGTGGAGAGATTGCTCTGATTAGAGTACTTCGACCTGGGCATCCTGCACCAGCTGAGGTAAAATTCTTACGTCTCTTCTTCGTCTATTAAATTCTAGTAAGTACACCGTAATACGAAGATAGTTCTTGAAAATAAGAAATACAGATGCTCTTAAAGCTAAGTTTGTGCAATTTGAAAAAAAAAAAAAAGAAACCATCGATGATCGTAATATAACGAACATAATGTTCAACCTGTTTGAATTATCAGGTGCGACAGGCAATCGCTAAAAGGCCAGAATTGGCATCGAGCGAGGAGTGCGCCATGGTCGAGTTCACGGATTCAGCGTCCGCTCGTACCGCCTTACAAATAACCTTGGGTGATGCCAAGGTGTTCGAGTTGCAACAATCCAGCGACAAGAAGAGGAAACAACAGCCAGCAAAGAAAAGTGCCCTGACAAGATTGGCCAAAGAGGAAGCTTACAATTCCTCGAGTTGCGCCAGCGGATCTGAGGCCGAAGATGGAAGAGTCAAGCATAAGAAACCTATTCACGGTTACCCAATATATCACGCTTATCCGGGCCATCCGCTTCAAGGTGCAGTTTCAAATCAACTTTTTTCGCTACAGCGTGCAATCACATTTTTACTAAACTTTGATTACTTGAGGTTCTATAGCTACTATGGTGTGGTTTTAAAATAGTAGCATTTTTCTATTTATTTCTAATCAGTTGCGTTAGGTAGTCGTAGGATTAGTACGTATATTTCATTTGACTAAATATCTTAAAAGGAATAGAGTGAATCTACCGACTTTGATACCGGCCAATTCAATTTAACAGTATCGAATAGTGTGAGATCAAATTCGGAGAATTACGAGTATTAACACGCGATTTTGGTGAAGAGTATAGTTTGTTTTTAGGATAAATTTTCTTTTCTTAAATTATTTATTGGGTTACATTCAGGATGAAACGAATTACATAAAATTATATGTAAGTACGTGGAGGTTTCCGGTAAAATAGATCGTAGAGTCCGATGGACTTCTGTTTACTTACGTAATAAAATTATTGAAATATGTTTTCATTGCTTTCACAATTCAGTCGATACAATGGAAGAATTCATTGAAGGAATTTTCGATTTCTCAAGTACTGTTCAAAATATTTTTCAAAAACTAGGCGTGTAAGTCCATTGGACTGAGCATGACCAGATAAGGGTTCGTCAAAGCATCCCGTTGAATCTAATAAATTACTGTTGATCTATTAAAAATTTTGAGAAATAAACTTATAAATAAAATACGATTTTCTGTACATTTGAAAACTTATAAAATTGACACGAAACCCTATTGTTACAGGACCCCCATCACCAGATGCGTGGTTATCTCGTCGACTATCCGCCTGTTCGGTATCAGGTTCAGAAAATAGTTTCATTCTCCGCCGCTTGTCTTCCTGTTCCAGTTCAGGCTCCGGTTCAGAGACCGGAAGTTTCGGCAGACGTTATTCCGCTTGTTCTTCCAGCTCCGAGACCGGTTACTGTCACCCAGTTTTTCCGACAAATTATTACTACCAAGAGAATCGACGTTTCTCCTGCTGCTCGAGTTCCGGTTCCGAGTGCCAAGGTCCTTGTTATCACTCTAGTCGTCGCGGATCTGCAGATTACGGGCCATTTTTGAGAAGATTGTCCGCCTGCAGCCGAGACTCTGGCTTCGATGCAGGAACTAGAAGGCTGTCTCTATGTTCCTCCGGTTCCGAACAGGGTACCTATTGCCGACCAAGAAGCAACAGTGGCATCACATTGACGCATCTCCCTGAAAACGTGATGAGAATGCCGTCTGGACCGGATGGAACACGTGGATTTGGCCGACCTAAAATAAACATTATGTCGCCAGCCATGGAGCCCACCTGTTAGATGTTGAAAAACATGGTGACCTAGGTTTCATCTACTTGTTCGTTTCTGTTTTATTCGACGAGTAAAATCAGTTTTGTCGTATTCAGTAAGGATTAAAAGAAAAATATCGTTAAAGACTTTTATACGAAAGATTTCTGGTGTATAATCAGTACGTTTATTCGAAGTAAAATAAGGTAATTAATTGTATACAAATACAAGTTGAGTTGTTTAATGTATGTACAAGTGTATTTACAAGACCTGACAGTTTTATCGTGTATGTGCCTATTTTGTGGAACGTTATATATGTATGTATATAAGTATATTGTTTTATCATGTACTTTGATAGATTTCTAACAGAAGTGATTCTTTCGAACTATATACATTTGTACATATCAGTGACATCTACAATGTACTTTTTCGATTTTCCAGTTTCTGCTTAACTCTTCACGAGATAATTTCGTTTACTTTCTTGGCTGCCCACGACCGCCGAAAAAGAATGTATTTAAAGATATTTATGAGGCCATATTATATTTATCTGTTTTAATTATATACCGTTTAGCAGTAAGACATTCGTGCCTAGACAAATGTAAATAATAATATTTTAATAGTAATCTATTTGTGATATTGATTATTAATGTACAGACTTCGAAATCGTATGTAAGTACATGACACATAGAATGTATCTATGTTGTGCAGACATTGATTCGTATGCAGTTCACGATACTCAACCAGCAGTACATTTAAATGTTTGACAATAATGTAAAGATATATATGTTAAATGTTATTTAAATATCCTAAAGAAATACATTGGTACAATAATTTTCCAATTGTACCAGTTTGTATTGAATTTTGATTATCCTATATATGTTACTAAAATTGTACTTATGAATAAATTAATAATTATTTTATTTGCTTTTGTTTTCAAAATATGTTGCAGTAAATAGTGTACAAAAAGAAAAGAAAAAAAAGCTGGAGAGCATTACTAAAATATTAATTTTACATGAAATTTTAGATAGATATGTGTACTATTATAAAATTATAATATATAAAAAGTAAATGTTTTGATTATATCTACAATTATATGGATATGAATTTTTAACACATATTAAATTGTAAAGAACCAGACTATATTATTCCTTTTATTCTACCTATAAAATATTATACATAGAAAAATGTATAAAGAACATTTTTAATGCATGAGGGTGTGATTATAAATTATAATTTGTATTTTTAGTTATATTGTAGTACTTATATAGAAAATTATTAAAAATTGTTACATATTTGATTTTTTACATAAAACATTAATACATAAAACAAATTTTTTAAATGTTATTATTAACCAACTTGCTGACGATGTTTTCAAATAACTGCTACATGAACATGAAATACGATATATACATATGTACATGCATATATGCATACGTATATGTAGTTACATCAATAATTAATGAAAGTGTATACAACCGTATGTTGCATTATGCATTTTTTGTACTTGTACATATTTATGTTAAGTTGTGTGTACAAATCAAATGAGAATCATGTATAGGTTCGAACGTGTACCTAAAATAAAGATTACACATAGCATTGTAAATGATTGCGAATTAGATAAGTAGTGCGAACATTACGAGCTCGCACACTTTCGGCTACGTGGACATCGAAACACTTCACTCTATTCCGTTGCGCGAAGAACGTATTATTTATGATTCTTATAAGATGGTGAGGTTAGGATGTGTTTACTTGTCAGATTCTTCGAAACATAGGATAAAACCCAAAGA